GGGGAGTGCGGAGGAGCTGTTCGGCAGGAAAAGTGATGGCAACGTTCTTCTGGGACTGGCAGGGGGTTATCCATGTAGACTTTCTGACAGATGCCACAACAGTCAATGCAGCTTATTACTCAGACNAAGGCACGCCCCCATACGGCCAAAACAACAATGGAAACCCTCCGGAAACTGAAATGGAACCTTCTGACACATCTGCCATACAGTCCAGATTTGGCCCCAAGTGATTTCTACCTGTTTGGAAGGCTCAAATCAGACTTGCAAGGCATGCGGTTTGTGGACGACACTGTCATCCAGACTGTTTGGGAGTGAATACGCCGCCAACCACAAGGCTTTTTTGAAAAGGGCATCAGGATGCTTCCAGAACGTTCTGACTCCGGAAGGGAGTACGTTGAAGACTGACATGTTCAAGTAAGTGTTTGGCAATTATGGTTTTTTAAAGAAAATCAGTCCCGGTCATATTTGAACCACCTTGTAAAAACAAAAACATCGAGGTGTTTCAACATGAGAGATAACTAACTTGGTCAAGATGTTAATGATCTAAATTGGACTGTATTATTCTATCATTCATTTAACTAAAACTACCATACACCATAAAATATGTAAGTTGTCCATGTTCACTGAACGTTAGCTCCATGCAGTAGTTCACAAAATATATTACACCACAGAATGCTTTTTGAAAACTTCAAATACATGAACCCAATTATTTTCTTTTTAAAATTTCGGCCTTATGGGCCTCCTCTCATCTCTCAGGCCACAAGTAACTTGACCCATCCTAATGCAGTTAAATTTTTATGATGTGCGCATCTTATTTCCTTCTGAAAAAACTGAAGGAATGCAAATGGAACAGTGGGGAAATTTAATAACCAAATTGAGTGCATGAGCAACCACAATCTCTCTTTTGTGGATTTGCCTTTAGCCACTATTATGCATATTTCCAGACAAAACCCCTGAAGCAATATGATACCCAAAGGGATTCATGAATAACTATTTAAAATCTACTGTGTGATCAAAAGGTATCTTGGAGGGGTAGGTTCTAAGAAAATTGTTACAGTGCAGGCATGACCATAAACTGTGGAAACAATGTGTAATGTCTCTTCATTCCTTATATCAAAGTTTGGGTGGGGCATAGATCTCAATAAATGCACCTAATCATATGTAACATAATCACAAATGCAGAACATGTATACAAAAGATGAAAGTCAACATTACCACAAAACTGATATCAATAATTTTTCATAATATACAACATTATGAGATGCACAAAAACAACAAAATATTTCCCCTTGCTGTACCTTAAAATTGCGCTATATACTAATGTTACCAGACTATGTTACTTTATACATATTACACAGAGCAGAAGCCACTTCTACTGCACTAGGTATTACAAAAAATGTATATATGTACTCATATTCTGAGGTAAGTTGAGTCTGTTCCAGTCTGCTGTACCTGGGCCTTGGTCAGAAGTGTAGATTACAGTAGCACTCTGTCTTGCTGAATAGGGGGAGTTACGGGGAGCCTCCACCAAAGGGTCGTAGTCCGCTATTTTTCCAGGCATATGATGATGATGGTGATGGTGGTGATGATGGGACTGCACCCCCATTGAGTTATGATGATTGATGGGCTCAGCAGGGGGAGGCACTTGCACAGGTAGGGGCATGTTTAAATCGTCTGCTACGATGGACAGAGATGAAACGTATATGCAACATGTAAACACAAAGCAACACATAAGAGAAGGACACAGATCAAGAGGATTTGAGAATAGGGTACTGATAATACTTGGACCTTAAAAGAGAGGAAATAACAGGAATAGAAAATTACATGAGAAGCTTCATAATTTGTACCCTTTATCAAACAGGGTGTGAGTATGAAGATTAGATTCATGAGTCTCAGGATGGGATCCTATGGCAGGCTCTTGTGAAGGCAGTAATGAATCTTCGGGTTTCATGCAAGGCTGCAGATTTCCTGACTAGGTAAGCGACTATCAGTTTTTCAAGGTAGGTTCAGTTCCAAGGAGACAGTTAATATAACAGAACCTGTAATTCTCGAAGGTTTCTGTTAGTATGCAATGGTCCACTTCAAAACTGTGTTCACCACCTTATGCATAAAGTGCTGTATGACTTAATGATGCACTGAGTAAAGCATTTCTACATTTTGCTGGCAAACTTGGAAGTCCAATCATGTAGAAACATGATATTTGGGCACAGTTCATATTAAGAATCTGGAAATAAGCCAGGTGAGTGGACAGATACCATTGCTAAATACAAGTTCAGTCTTAGTTTAACTGTATTAAAATGTAGCAACCAGATCATTTTGGACATATTTTTATTTACCTCCAAATGGTTTAAAATTGTAGCTGTTTTGCCAGCAGGTCCCTCATGTGAATAAAGTTCTAACTCTTTGAGAAACTGAGGTGATCAACAAATCCACTGACCCTGAATTATGGTACACACAAGATAGTTGATTTGTTTTTCTATTCTGAAATTTAACATCAGATGGGCCTTAGGTAGTGAATTTTATGCCTATCTTCACTGTGCTGTTTTGTCATCATGGCAAGATGAAAGGACAGTCAGACACAATGAAGAAGAATATTCACTGACCTCAACACATTTAATGACAAGTTTCTAAATATCACCTATACAAATTCGTATTACACATATTATATGAATTGTGATAAGTTGAATCACTAGTTCATGCTGTTAGCATCGGAAAGCTTGATGTTAATGATCACTACATAATCTGGTAACTGCAGCAGTTCCTTAAAGAAATTAAAAATAAAATTGTAATGGTGCTGCATGAGATTATGAGTAGCTGTGCATCTGCTGCAAACAGTACTAATTCTTCTGGCATTAGTCTCCCTAGTGTCAACTGTTGCAATTTTCATGAAAAATGCTTTTTTCAAAGAACTTCTTGAAACCTGTGATTTGTATTATTTCAATATAAGACATTATGAATGCACTGTCAGTACAATGATGCAGAGCTCCTAGTACATATACACCTACAAAGCTGCATTCCTTAGAACCGAAATTTGTCAGATGACAACAGGATATGTAATAAATCACAACACATATAATGACACAATACGTGCAATGCATGCAAAAGTATTGATTATAAAAAACAAAAAACACACACACAAAAAAAAAAACTCCATGATTTCAGTCTGCAAGCAAACCATACCTACCAAGCGACCGCCGCTTGTCAGTGAAGTTTAGTGCCAACTATGTTGCGGATAGAGGCTGTTGCATGGTCAGCGCAACTAATCCCCACGGCCATTAATTTCGGTTTTCTAGACCGGATTATGATTATAAATAGATAATAAATCTATTCTGAACACTAAACATTCATCAACAGACATAAAAGGAATGTGGATGTACCATTTTAATGCAACTATAAACTGCACATTTTCATTCACAAAGTTCACAATATTATTACGTAAATTATTAAAATTTCCGTATTAGTATAAAATGCACTTTGCAGGAAGCAAGTAAGGGTGGCGATGGCCTATGAAGATTATTCTTCCTTCTTGTGTTAACAATGTGTATCAACAAATTTCCTCAAGAATGCTCCTGGTTTTTCACAACACAGTTTGCAATGGAAAATATATGAGTATATTCACGTGGAAAAGGTACAATCTGTAATCTCTTAAACATTTATGAAATATCAGATTTGGCACCAACCATAATTCTAACGATCTTATTTTTGAAATATTGAGTAACTCACTCACAGCAGGCCCCAAATGAATGATTAAAAATCACGCAGTTATTTACCAATGAAACAAACTTGGCAAAACAATGTCCTTTAGAACACTATGGTTTTCTGATGAAGCCTGGTTTCACCTGCTGGGTACTTCGAGTCACAGAATATGCATATTTGGGCCACTGCAAATTCTCATGCCATTCATGAGAAGTATTTACATTGACTGTCTTGTACCCACATAATTGGCCCAATTTTCTTCTGTACTACTTCAATACCAATATCTACATTGATATTTTTCAAGAATTTCTGAATCAGCTGGATAACTGGTAATGGACAGTCGATTAATTCCAGCAAGATGAGGTGATGTCCCACACATCTAACTTAGCCTTAGGAGAAATCAAGAGCTTCTTTGGGGATAGGATTACCTTGATAGGACTTCAGTCACCCCTTCTGCAGACATGACTCCAGGGACTTCTTCCTGTGGTGTCTGCTGAAGGGTAGTAGAATGTGTATGCGTAAGGGGTGAGCCATAAAATCTGCCCTTGCACTGCGACCTTCAACCTTTATTAATCCTACAATTCGAATGAAATGTAGGACTTATTTTTGGGGGCGTCATAAAAGTCATTTGGTTCAATAACAAACTGACCCAGGTGACGAAATTTTAAATAAGCTATGGCCTCACAATCAGATAGGATATGTGTGGCTGATTTGTCTTCTTGTAGGCACCTTTCACAAGTTGGGTCATCTGTCAATCCCAGTTTGAAAAGGTGTCCTTTTAGGTGGCACTGTCTAGTAAGTAATCCTACCACCCATCTTAATTGGTCTCTGCTTAATTTCAACAGATCCTTCCTTCTGATATAAATCCTGTTGCCTGTTTGAGTCCAGTTGTGGGTTCCCAATCTGCTGAAGGGTAGGGTGTTAAAAAACAAACCTTGCACTACTGAGGGCTTTGAAAAGAAGCATTACCAACGAAACTGCTGTGATCTCTCCTGCCACACTGGCTGCAACATTGGTAAACACTGAGCGCATTGTCACCCTGAGTCTCCAGGGGAGGAAACCTATTTCGACGCCTTCTGTAACCCAATTCATATTTTTACTGTGGTACATATTCATCAAGTCTTGTTTCCATTTGTAAACTAGTGTGTGAATTATAATTAATAATTTGGTCCTCTTTTAAGTGAATCACCCTGCAGCAGCAAAATAAAAATGTTTGAAACCTGTCTGATGCTGTGAATATATTCTGGACACTCCACACACCTTTTCAAGCAGAGACGCAGTAATTTTCAGGTTAAACCTTAATACGGTCTCATGGCTTAAAACATAATAAATATTAAAAACAAAGGGGTTAATATATTAATATGACAGGACAAAGTCAATAAGCACTTTCTGCTTCAACATGAATTATAATTAGCAATGACATTACATACTGCTGTCAGGCAATTTCAGTTTTAAAATTACCCATGGTAGTTTTATTTGTAGCATTCAAATTTAATAATTTTATCAAATCAGCTGTAAAGTTCACACAATATACGATTTTAACAATTCACAAGAAATCTTCCTGATATGCTTTAACGATTACATAAAATAATTATGATCCCATTACAAGCAATAAATAATTTTAAGCTTTGTATGGTTTTGCTTGCAGCCATCTGTAGGAAAGCATGCTGGCAGAAAGGTCTGGGTCAGGATGTCTCAGAAATATTCTCCTCAGGGCACAAAACTGAATTGCGGATTACAAAAAGCCCTTACTCAATGCATGTATCACTTCTAACCAGAGCAATAAAAGTGCCATGCTATACCACAAACAGATGTACAACAACTGATTAGAACAACACACATCAACAAAAGCAGCTCCCTATTAAGACTTACATTTTTGGCATAACATCTAAATCAAGACTTTCAAAAGTCAGTCAGACATGGAATTTAGAGAAGATCAAATAAAAGTCAACACCTGTTTTAACTGTAATTCTAAAATGCTTTCTCTTGGTGGTGGAGATCAAAATACAAGGAAATATCTGTCAATACCAAATGCATATTGATGTATTTACTTTAGAGATACAGACACAGCTTCAATACAGTGTGGAATGTTATAAAATTCTGAACAAGTATCTTATTTTTGTAGTTTCAAAAAGGTGTGCAAAAATGTAATGATTGTGAACAGATGATTATAGCACACAATTCTCTGTTTAAGGACAAAATACTTGTTACAAATGCCTCCCACAGGTATACTGAGAGACTTACTTACACAAAGAAAGTGTGTATATAGGAATATTATCATCAGATTAGCAGGATAGAAAGCTCATACCAACAAAAAAGCACAGAACATAAACAAATACCTTACATATACAATATCTTGTCCTCTATGTACACTAGAAAAAAAACTCTATTGCTTCTGCAGTAATATAAATACAAACTATGCAATCACAGAATTTGCTGAAGACAAAATAAAGAAGAGTTCCCAAACATTTTCTATGTTGTGAAACCATTTTCTTTTTCATTCTTTACATCTTGAACCAAATTCTTCAGTTCCTGATACTCACCATCACCATCAGTTTCTCCATTTTCACCTGTCATGACTCTCTTCTGTTCCATTGCTGCCTTCTTCTCCAGCTCCCCATGGTATGCCACATTGCTACAATAAACACCAGCAAGTCAGGCCATCAGGCCACCATCTTTACATTACGTGTTTATTCTAACAAACTGAAACTCTGAGTGAACTTCGGAAAATATGGAACTTTTCTTCAGGTAAACTGAGGGAAATTTGAAATAAACATGATGCCTACATGAAATATTTCACTTTTGTTTCAATAATTCATGAAAAATTACATCCTAATATGTGAAAAAGAGAAACAGGTTGAGGTGTAAACATTGTATAAGCGATCTGCTGATAGCTCACTTCTATAGTTCACATATTCATGTTTAGGTAAGACTAAAGTAATTTGGTATGTTTCATACATTGCAATTTAATCAAATACATCTTCACCTTCAGTTCAGGTATTCCCTTGAGATGTCTTCTGTATTTCTTGCATGTTGTACACCTTTCGAGTAAAACAAGATAAAACCAGAAGGCGCACACATAAAAAACTGTGTAAGAAAAGTAAATGAATGGATGAATTTAAATGTATGGAAATGAATAGTTTATATTGCATATTGAAATAAAAATTCAGATGCAAGAATGTTCATTAAATATTAATTATAGAGAATACCATAGAACATTTTCTTTTAACATTATCTACTGTCTGGATAAGATAATGTATATTTGGAAGTTAGCTTGATAAAAATAAAGGGTACCTAAAGCATGAAACTAATTACATACAGCTAAGGCTCACTGCTATTCCATGCATTCTTCTTTTAGTAAGATAATGGATAGTATACAAAGAATATAATCTCATGACAAAGCCAAGACACTGTCACAAACCTTTAGAAAAACATATACAAAGTAAGATTTGAGGCTTTCACGGCGGTGACTATGAAGAAAGCAGTCTTCTGGGATTTGGCACCGTGTATATGTGGTGTTAACCGACGTTTTGGAGGAACGTATCACAGTCTGCTTTTACCGGTTCTCACGGTCTCTTTGCTTGCAGATTCTTATATATTTTTTCTTCTACCCTGAAGATGGAGGCGATACGTTCCTCCGAAACGTCGGTTAACACCACATATACACGGTGCCAAATCCCAGAAGACTGCTTTCTTCATATACAAAGTACTTCAGCACATAAATGTAACATATACATGAGAAAATTAGGCACTAGAAATTAAGGTATACCTGATAATCTTTGAATTCTGCTTGATCCGTAATGTTTCAGGATCATCTGCTACTTGTGTGAACTTTCCCTTTGCTTTTTCAAACTCAGCATGATATAAAACCTAGAAAAAACCAAACTGAAAATGTGTAATAAGATTTAAACATAATCTGTCACACAGAACCATAACTGGAGAACATCATCATGCATAAAGGTAAAGCTGTCCCTGTACTTAATTTAACAGGACCCTATGAAAATGCAAGGGGCTGTGCGTATGTGTGCGCGCACGCACGCATGCATGCATGCATGCATGAGAGAGGGGTAGGGGCAATGGAGAGTGTACAACTTCGCACAATCTTAACAACAGCACTAGATGCAGGGGAGTGGTCAGCTTCATGACCCAGGTACTTCACCCCTGGGTAAAGTGTCCCTGGTACCCATTGGATAGGTGGGCCCCAAAACTGGTCTGAATACTGTGGAGAAAAGAAAAGAAATCCCTTGTCCTTAACAGGAATGGAACCCAGATTCCTCAGTTGCCCAGCCCAAAAGTCTAGTCTGACTTATCCCTGCTCCTTTATATAAAGTAAGTAAGTAAAGCTATCCTTGTAACAGGCCGTGAAGGCCCATAGGGTTGTGAGATGTTGAGGGTCCCACATTATCTAGACAATCGGCTCAAAGATGGCGGTAAGGTTGTCAGCCTTACACGCTGGCCGTGCTTTACTCCCCAGGAAAATTATTTAATTAATTCCTGGTACTCATTTCTGTTAGAGGCTGAGTCGACCCAAGGGCCATAGTGCGGCTGGAAGGATTAGATCAACTGAAAAAATCCAATGACCTCTTCGGGACTTGAACCCACGACCTTCCGGCTCGTAGCATAGCCCCTCAACCAACTATGCTACCATGTATGCCCCTATGAATGTCAACAGACATTACTCAAATTCTACATCCACCTTAAAATTCATGAGGAAACAATAAATTTCCAGATTTATTCACAATATAATAACAAAGCTCCATAAGTGTAATAAATGGTCAGAATATGAATATACAATATTTTTCATGTATGTTTTCCACATCTTGACACAAGAAAACCAGCTTGGGACGAAGTCACCCCACCTGCCTCCTCATGGTGGTCTCCAGAAGTGGGCTGGCCTGGCTAAGAGTGGTAGAGCCCTAAGGTAACGTTTAAGACACTGTGCCAAGGCATGCATAGCACTGAGGGAGTAGTGTGATGAATGGTGCCTTTTGGTTACAGGATGACATTCCACTGTAAGCCAACCTACCCCAACCCAATTTTCAGGGTTCTGTGAGGAGATGGGGTCAGATTTCCCTGCACCATCCAAACCCTATCAGGGGCTCTCTGCTGGTCCTCATGGCAACTAACAAAGGTGGAATAGAGTTTTCCCCTTATCAGTATCCTGCAGGAAGAAACAATCCCCCTGCACTGGAGGGCCCAGGTATGAGATCTCCTACTGACTGCATTAGAAGCCTCAGTTACTGATTCTTCTGCTGCTTTGGGAATGGCCAAATCTCTCATGGGCCCTGGTAAGCGGCCCATTAAAGGGAAGTATGAAAAGGATCCACTGCTAGAATCTGATCCAACCACTGGAAAGAATAACTGGAAAATGTACCAGGGGAATAAAATTGGGGGGAGGGGCTTCTCAACTGGGGTCTGGCTGTCTATGGAGCATATAGTAGGGACAGCTGAAGGGTCCCTGCTGCGAATATTCTGGGCGGGGGGGCTTTGTCCCTATGTTCTGCTTTTCTGCTGGGGTGAGGAAGTAGTCATGATCTCTTGGGAGCTTTGTTGAGGAGTACAATGGGGGTGACACTAAAGGAGTGCTCTTGATGGGAGTGAGTAATATGACAGTCAAGAGGAAGAACTGAACAGGTTAGCAAATAGGAATGTGGGGGCTTCCATCTCCCTGCTTTGAAGGGTTCATGTGCTGGGTATCCTGCCTGGCTGCCTGCACACTGTCACAGGGAGATAGCAAGATCCCTCAGGGTTCTGGTGAGGATCTGCTGAGGGCAAGACTGTAAGAGGTCTCTGGTAAAGGTGAATAGCCTGAACATCAAGACGAAGTGGCCAAGCCATCAGATGAAATGGGTATAGGGAGGCTCCAGGCTTATGTGCTAGACCTCGCCTGGTGCTCGATTATGGGTCTAGCTGGGACCACGGAGGGTCTCTGCTAGCCATGGAGAAGGAACAGAGGGTAGCCAGCATGTTTTGGGGGAGGGGGAGGCTTTTTTTCCTGCTCTAAAGGGCTGTGATATCAAGTGCTTCACTCTTCTGCTGTAGTGGAGACAGTCAGATCTCTCAATGGCTCTGCTGAGGGTACACTGAGGGAAAGATTGTAAGAGATCTCTTGACAGGGGGTGAATAATATGACTATCAAGATTTGGACAGGGTAGCAAAGAAGCAGGCCATTAGAGGATGCTATTCTCTGAGGAACTGACACGTTGGCTGGAACTCGGTAACAGTTCCAGCTGAGGTCAGTGGTGGGGAGTTAGCTGTCCCTGTCAGTGAATGACAGAATAGCTGAATTCTTGTATCATCAATTTAAGAGATGAAGGCACTGCAGGTCAAGCTGTTCATTCCTGCTGCCATGGGGAAGTAGCTGTTAGCTCTTGTGGGCTTTCATGGGGGGCCTAGGAGGGTGAAACTGAATGAGGCCTCTCTGTGGGGATGAACAGCCTGACCATCAAGAAGAAAACACGTCTCACAAGCATGAGAGGCTGGTCAAGAAATGGTTCCTTCTGAGGGAAGCTGAGGATTCATTAATGGGTCCAGCAGGGACCACTGGTGGGAGGTCTGATGTCCCTGTTGGTGAATGAGAGGGGGCACATCTGGGATATCCCACTGCCAACAGCCGAAAAGATGGTATTATGTCAGTGTTCCACTTGGCTGGGCATAGACCTATGGCATTTGGCTCTTCATGGGTAAAGATGATCTGGAGGATTTTGGCTCTTTAACAGCCTAAGCAACACTGGAGGCCCATAATGCACCCAGCAGAGGTCTGAGTGCTTAAGATGTGACTATAACTTGTCCCCCAAAGTCAATACAGTGTGAACCAGCTACTCGTTTATGCTCACTGCCAATATTCTTAGTTAACTAAATATTTCTAGGATATATATATATATATATATATATATATATATATATATATATACACACAAAAACTTGGTTATATCAACATCTGTTTCTGAGACACCTTGTCTATTACGTCAA